GAAACGATTCTTCTCTAAATGCAAGAGAAATGATTCTTCTCTGAATTGAAATGATTTTTGGTAAATACATAAACTGGTTCTTTACTAAACACATGAAGTGATTCGTTGTTAGAACAGGCAGGCATCAGAATGAAATGTTCAGATCCTGAACGTGTGCAGATCTTTGGTGGCTGAAGGAGATATTCAGGCTGCCTGACATGTTCAGGAATGTTTTAAAAGAGTCTCCGTCTGAACGTTCCTCATGGAACCACTCAGATCTCATCAGTAATCGGTTATTTTAGACACAGATTGGGGTGTTTTGGTGGCAGTTGAAGTGATTTATCCGGAGATGAACTGTCGTTATGACACGGATCTTGTTTTTCAGGTCTCCTCTGACGGGCTCCGGCGACTTCACGTCCACCCGAGGAAGGATCATCCAGCTGTGCCTTGAGCTGACCTCCACCGTGCAGAAGGTCAGTGATGTCCGCCGCCCTGAACACGCAGCAGACGGCTTCTGTTTACAGCAGCTAATGATGAAAGCTGTGTAAACAGGAAAGGTCTTAGATTTGACCCCGTGATGTTTGCTTCTCCGCATGCTTTATTCCCGCTGCTCCAGCGTTCAGTTTGAAGCAGCTTTCCACCCCCCTCCCCTCTCCCAGCGGCGGTTTGGATATTTACTGCTCCGCGTCGCCTCCCTGCATGTCTCTGCAGACATCTGGGAGGCGTCTCCGGCCTGCGCCGTCATGCAATCATCCTGTCAGCCCGTTTACAGCCAGCTGTTATTTTTCCAACCGCGGGAAGAGCCCTCCGTGTCTCCAGGAGGCCACCGTGGTCTCCGCCTTCTGCTTTCACTCTCCTAAAGGCTGTTATTTCTCAAATATTTGTTTTCCCAACGACAATTTGCTCCTCTTCCTCCTGCCAACCTCCAACATTTCCAGCTTTGGAGAAGGAGAGTTCTGTGGCTGCTGACGGCTGCTCCTCCTCACCATGTCCTAAAAACTGCATCTGTGAGCTTCCTGCGCTCCAGAGAAAACAGTCAGAGGAGATAAACTCCTGCAGGGTCATCTCCCTCCCTGGTGATTTCTGGTTCTGTTAGAACAGTTCTGGGATTGTTTGTTTGTCTGATGGATGTTTCTCTGACTGCAGGACTGCACCATGTACGAGATGGAGGAGAAGATTCTGGAGGTGGTGAGTAAAACCTTCTCCTGTCTGCTCCTGAGCCAAAGCGCACGCTCTTCCTTTTCCTGAATGAATTGTTTGTTCAGGCCTGGAACGTCCGCTTGCTGTCTTAGATAACGCTTCCTGCAGGACGTTCCCTGAGAACAGGAACCTTCACCTTGCGGAAACGGCCGCAGCTTTTCTGTGATGCAGAGGTGAAGCTCAGAGAAACTGGGCTCAGAACCAGAGAGGGTTCTTCTGGATTTGCTTTGGGGTTGGTTTTGGATTAGGAGGACGGATCAGTCTGCCCCCTGTCTGTCAGCAGCTGTACTGCAGCACAAACCTCCTGGATGCAGCTGTGGAAGATGTTTCCTTTAAATGATGATTCAGTCGTTCCTGAAAGAGAGAAAATCAGCATCTGATGTGAGGTTGGCGTCTCCAGAGGACACGTTTTTTTCAGGAACTTCTTTTTTTATTGATAGTCTTCAGGTTTCCTTCTGTAACTGAGCAGGAAATTCTCTTCCATTGTTGTTAAGAACAAAGAACACACTTTAATAAAAACTTAACTTTACTGTTTCTTAAAGGTATAGTGGAAGATTTTCGTAAATCTTTGAAAAGGATCAGCCCTCTTCACTTAAAATAAAATAAATGCCCATGCACCGCCCTGTACCTGGTCCAGAGACCGAACGCCTATTAAACGCGTGTGAGTCGTGCACGAGGAGAAACGGGCTCGTGCACGCTGCGTTTGCGTCGTTTATACAAGCTGACTTTCCATAAGGAGATTTGCAATTTTTTCCACCATGTCCGACTCACCAGCGGTCAGTGAAATGGGGAGGAGCATGTAGGACGCATCACCAGAATTCGATTTTTATTTTTATTAATGAATTTTTATTTGCATTTATGAAAGTTGGAATTTTATTTAATTTTTCAAGCTTGATCATTTTTGTTGCTTAAAGTGAAGAGAATCTGATCTATGAAACACAATTTGAAAAGATTGCAATTTGTTAAATCTGAACAAAACAATTTAAAGAATAAGTTTGGAAGTCTGACGCCATGTTTCTAAAGGCTGCTCCCCTTCAGGCTGCAGCAGACCTCCTGCCTCCATTAGAGGAGTTCCAGTATCCTGGGCTCCTGTTCATAGGAGCAAAGCTCTGATTTAGCGCTCGCTCTACCTTCCTACCCTCACCTGTGGTCATTAATCTGGATCAGAACCCAAAGAACCAGATCCTGGATCCAAGCCTCCTCTGCAGGGAGGAGCTCGGTCATCAGGGAGCTGCTTCTCCTCCACATCCAGAGGAGTCAGCTGAGGAGGATCAGGCATCTTTATCTGATGGTCGCCTCCCTCTGAGGGGTTCCAGGCACGTCCCGCCAGGAGGAGGACCAGGACTCCATAGACCCTGGTCTAAAGAACTGGCTCTGAAGAACCGGTTCTGGATGAAGTGGGAGACAAGGACACAATCTTTTGAAAAATATATAGAATTTGAGAGAAAGGAAAAAAAGAAAAGGTACAATTTAAAAAAAAGAAATATTCAAATTAAATTTGGAAAACTGCAAAAACTATCTAGAAATATGTAAAAATGTCTTAAATTAAGTGTATTTACCCTCAAATCCAGTAGATGTTTTGTCTAATTTCAATTTCCACAATGTTTTCTGCAAAAATACTAGAAATAAATTCACTCCATAGGGAGGCAACCCGACCATGACGGAGCCCCCTCCGTGTTTCAGGTTTACAGGCTATAAAGGACGTTCTGTAGAAGCTCCGCCCCTTCCTCTCGCACCTTGTTGTGTCCAGTTGATGCTAGGCGTTTAGTTAGGAGCAGGTTGGTCTCTAGCAGGTCCAGGTCACCTCCAGGTCCAGACCTGAACTGGATCTGGGTCTAATTCCTCTGGTTCTGCTGGTAGAAGGTTTGATCTTCTGGCTCTGAGGTAACGTTTGACCTTCTGCCATGTTTCAGTCTCAGGCTCTGAACGCCGTCTGTGAGAAGACCGTCCAGGCCGCCGCCGTCCCCTCAACGGCGGAGACGTCCTGCCTGGAGGAGGTCCTCATCACCGACGTGAAGCCTGGAGAAGGACTGGTGAGTTCTGATCAGGGAGGTTCCTGCTCCGCTCAGTGAGGAACACATTCACAAAGCAGAACCTCAAATCTTCGCCGCTCTCTGATCTTCCAGGGAATCTACATCAAATCCACCTACGATGGACTCCACGTCATCACAGGAACCACAGAGAACGTGAGTCCGCTGGAAAATCCTGTCAGAACCAGAACCGCTGTGAAACTCTGACATGTGGTGGTTCTGCCTCCGTTCAGTCTCCTGCAGATAAAACCCAGAGGATCCACGCTGGAGATGAAGTCATCCAGGTCAACAAGCAGACTGTGGTGAGTCCAAACCCATGGGAGCAACATGGTGGGACCAGAACCTGGAGGAGATGCAGCAGAACTTCTGCATCATAGGAGCTTTATCCCAGAACTATCGATACACGTCTGTTAAGAAAAGCAACAGATTCTGATCCG